GCACACGTGCACACGGGAGGTCACGGTGTACACAGGGGGCGAGGCAGGAAGGAGCACAAAGCGGGATCAGACTTGGGGCCAAAGGGGCAGTCAGCAGGGGCAGGATGAACATCCAAAGCACGAGTGTTGGCGGTTCCACGTGTGCACGTGTGTGCATGTGTGAATGTGTACGCACGTGCATTGCTGTGTGTGCCTGTGTGATGCACACGAGGGAGGGGCCAGACACTGAGCCACCCCGGGACCACAGAAGTGACCATGAGGACTGTGGGGAGCAACTCGGACTAGACTGTTACTGGAATTAAGACTTATTCTATGCATCTGCTCTCCCACAATATGGCGCTGCAAAAGGAGGAAACAGCTTCTACACAGCTGCCTCCAGTTCAACCAATAAACAGCAGGACCTGCTCCTGATTGGAGGAGAGCAGCGTGCTCGGCGTGTGGGTAGCAGAGTTGGGATTGGTGGAAGAGGACTATAAAGGAGGAGAGAGACAACATGCACCAGGAACATCTATCTGAAGGAACACCTGAGCAGCCCCCGAGAGAGCCGGCTGGCGGTGTGCCGCTCCCCCGCGGAAGTGGGGAAAGTGGCAGGGGGAACCGCCCTTCCACGGAGGTGGAAGGGTCGGTAGCCAACCCGGGAAGAACCAGCAGCAAACCCGGGGAGGGCCGAGCAGACGAAAGAACAGCGCAGGGTCCTGTGTCGTTCCTCCACGAAGAGGGGGAGTGACATAATGGTGCCGTGACTCGGATATGAAGCTTAGGAGGGAAGAAACGGGAAGAAGTGGGAAAATACTGGAGAGAGAGACTAGCAAAGAGCCTAGGGAAAAGCCGGATGGAAAAGGTGCCGGAAGAAGCTATTGAAAGCCTAGGCATAGACTCGGATATGGACTATGGCGGGGAAGCTGGGAGAAATCTCTAAGGTCAAAAGCGAAAGTGAAAGCTAGAAGAAACTTGGATATGGACTGTGGGGAGAAGCCAGGAGAAATGAGAGGGGAATATTGTTGGAAGAAAAGTTAGGAAACATACCAGGTAGAGAAAAATATGTTAGGGAGGATGAAGCCGCGGGGGCAGGCTGAGGCGGAGACGTAAGCTAGCTTGGGATTCTTCAAGTCAGCCCGGGGAGCAAAAGGCGAAAAGCTAAAACTAGAGGCGGACGCGTAAGCCAGGTTGGAATCCGTCAGATTAGCCCGGGGAGCAAAAGACGGGAAGCCAAACCGAAAGGCGCAGACGTAAGCTAGGTTGAATTCGCCAGGTTAGCCCGGGGAACTTAGACTGAATACCGGTGGCGGAAACGTGAGCTAGGCTGTGTGACTCGCGGAAGCCGCCACGCGCAGAGAGAGCACGCGGGGCGCAAGTAGATAGGGAACGCGGGGCTAGCGCGAAGACCGTGGTGTGGGCATGAAGGGCACGGAGACCACGGAGCATGCGCGAAGCCGGGGAAGCCGCGCAGATGAGAGAAGCGTGGGCTGAAGCGGCGCAGAGCCGGGAAGCCGCCGCGGGGCGAGGCGCCGAGAAGCAGCCTTGGGGCGGGCGCCGGGAAGCCGCGGGGATAAGAGAAACAGAAGTTTAGAAGTAAAATGAGAGAAATAGGAATGCTGGCAGATAGAAGTAAAACAGAAGAAATAGGAATGCCCGGAGATAGAGAAATAGAGAAAAATAAGGCCTCCCCACAACATGGCAATGAGAGGGCTTGGATTCGGTCTGCCTGATTAGTAAGACGATAAGCACCTGCTGGCGGCTAGCAGCTTACCGGCTGCAGGTCACCGAAGACAGGCACGTTACCAACACCAATAAGTCTCCCCACAAGACGGCAATGAGAGGGCTTGGATTCGGTTTGCCTGATTGCTAGGGCTTGTAAGCACCTGCAGGCAGTTCTAGCAGAGCAGAGCATGCGCTGCAGGGCACCGAACACAGGCACGCATCAGCGCCTAAAAACCTCCTCACAACATGGCAAAGAGAGGACCCGGATTTGGTTTGCCTGATTGGTAGGGCTTGTAAGCACCTGTGGGCAACTCTAGCAAGCAGAGCAGAGTGTGTGCCGCGGGGCACCGAAGACAGGTGCGTATCAACGCCAAAAATAAAAAGAAAGGGGGATCTGTGGGGAGCAACTCGGACTAGACTGTTACTGGAATTAAGACTTATTCTATGCATCTGCTCTCCCACAATATGGCGCTGGGAGAGGAGGAAACAGCTTCTACACAGCTGCCTCCAGTTTAACCAATAAACTGTAGGACCTGCTCCTGATTAGAGAAGAGCAGTGTACTCGGCGTGTGGGTAGCAGAGTTGGGATTGGTGGAAGGGACTATAAAGGAGGAGAGAGACAACATGCACCGGGAACATCTATCTGAAGGAACACCTGTCCAGCCCCCGAGAGAGCCGGCCAGCGGTGTGCCGCTCCCCTGCGGAAGTGGGGAAAGTGGCAGGGGGAACCGCCCTTCCACGGAGGTGGAAGGATCGGTAGCCAACCCGGGAAGAATCAGCAGCAAACCCGGGAAGGGCCGAGCAGACAAAAGAACAGCTCAGGGTCCTGTGTCGTTCCTCCACGAAGACGGGGAGCGACAGAGGACCAGGATTCATGTCCAGGGGATCTGGCTTGAGAGTCCAAACATTCTAGAACACGAGGCCTGGAACACACGGAAAGCAGCTGGGCTCTTAGTGGCTGGGCTCTGCGTGCAAACCTATGTCCCGCCCACTCTAGGAGCCCAAATCTGGTCACCACCATGCCAGTGTGTACCAAATGCCATCTCATTTAGGGAGCCCTCTGCCCTCGCCACGGGACAAGCTGGAACCTAGTACCTGGGTGAGAGGTACTTCCTGTCCACCAGCTCAGCACCTGCCAGGCTTTTGGGGGTCACTCAAAGGAAGAGGCCACTCCGTCTCAGCCATTCCTTTGTGCACTGCGTCTCTGCCTGTTCCAGTGTGTCTCCCACGCACGGCAACGCCACCTCAGTGAGGAAGGGGCCCTGAAGAGAACCGGGAAGCAAGCAGGAGCCAGGCCGGGGGGCGCCACCCCTCACTGGGAGGGACACTTGCAACCTCGGAACAGGGGCAGTCGTGCTGCGCCCTGGACACCACCGACCGACCGGGAGGAGCAGCAGCCGTGGGAAACCCGAGGACCACGGCCGCCGCGGTGCCATCGCAGGCTCCAAGGTGGCCGGGTCTCTGAGATCAGACCTAACCCGGAAGCCAGGGCGCAGCTTTCCCCAGAGCACACCCGCGTCAGGTCCCAGCCCCACCACGCTGCCCCCAGAACCTGCTGGGCAGGGCAGGGCTCCAGGGAGGCCCCGACCTCAGCCCCTTCTCCGGCTCTTGCACCCGCACCCCACTCCATCACGAAGGGCCGAGTGGGTGGACACACGAGGAGGGACGTGGTGCGGGCACTGGGAGCCAGCTCAGGGCACCCGAGTGAAAACCAGCAAGGGAAGGGCATGGCCCCCGGGGACACAGCCCTTGGCCCTTCACCCACTGGGAGGGCCACAGAGAGCCAGCGCACAGCTCATCCCACTGTAGCTGCACTGGCCCCACCCGCCTCTTCCCTCAGCGGGGAGCACGGGCAGGGCAGGGGGCTGGGGCCCCAGGACCTGCCCCTCCCACGCCACGTGACCCGGGACATCCAGGGACCTTCCTAGACCTGTGTCCCCTCTGGGTACAAAACGAAGACTACAGCCAGCCTCCCACGCGGCTGCTCCAGCTCGGGACACTGCCGCGCTCGGCACCAGGAAGCGGCTCTGCGGCATCAGACGGGGCTGTGGGATCGCTCACGGAACGCCCGCGTCCACTCGAGAGAGAAGACAGCACCCACTTGAGGCCTGTGTGGGTGCCGGGCACGCGGGAGGGGAGCCCAGGAACCCGTGCCACGTTGCACCACACGTGCGCTGCCAGATTCCATGCTTTGTGATCACAGAAGCGAAGGCAGGAGGCTTACTCCCATATCCCAGATGGGAAAAGTGAGGCCCGGAGTGACACGCAGGTGTGTCTGTGTCCTGATTCCCTCCAGACACACACACGCTCCCTCACAACACTCACCTGCTGGCCACAGGACATCCGCTCACAGCTCCCCGGCCGGATCAGCCACTACATACGACTCTCGAAGCTGACGAGGGGGGACCCACGCTTTGCCAACTCACACGAGCTCCCTGTACCCCCCACATACCAGCTGGGCCCCCAGGGAGGAGGGAGCTTGCTGAGAAACCAAATGATCATCTCACCAAACCCCACAAGGAATGAGTGCCTGTGCCAGCACCACGCGGCAGTGGCTTAAGCCAATGGAAGGCCGGCGCCCCACGTGAGCGCCAGTGAAGAGGCCCAGCTGTTCCACTTCTGGCCCAGCTAAACACTGCTGCGCCAGGAAAGCAGAAGAAGGCCCAAGCGCTTGGACCCCTGCACCCATCTGGGAGATCCGGAAGAAGCTCCTGGCTCCTGGATTCAGCCAGGCCCAGCCCCAACCACTGTGGCCATCTGGCCGATGATCCAGCGGATGGAAGATAACTCTGCGTGTGTGTGTCCCTCTTTGTAACTCTTCCAAGTACATCTCAGAAAAGAAGCAACAGCACACTTCCAGCACCCGTTGAGCACTCTGCGCACCAAAGACAGGGCAGCAACACAGGCTGCGGCTCCCGGAATGTTCCCGTCTATCTATCCCAGCTGCCTGCACACGCTGAGCCCCGTGCACTGAGCCCACGTCACGTCGTCTGCATTTCTCTGGTAAACAAAGCCACAAACTCTGGTGAGTGGGGCTGAAGTCGTGGCTGGCTCCCTCCTCGGGGGCGTGGGGCTCTGAGGAGTGAAGGGGAGGAAGTCGCCTGGCCTCGGGCCCCGGCTAGGGTGGCAACCGGCCCTGAGCACCAGAGCCGCCGGCCGGACCCCACTCTCGCCCTCCATGCCGGGCAGGAGGCAGGGATGGACGCGGCCAGGTCCGTGCTCTCTGGACACAGCCTGGGCCCACCTGCCAGGGCTCCCTGCTGCTCCCACTGGAGATCGCTCAAGCCACGCAGGCACGCTTCACGTGTAAAGCTCTTTATTGGTGAGCCCACGCTGCTGAAGCTCCACCCAGGATCTGGAAGGCACTGGCGGCGGCCGCTCCCTCCAGGCACGGTGCCCGCCCGCTGGGCAGCTGGGGCCGCACCAAAGGCCAGGAACCCGGCGTTTCCGAAGGCCTTAGCTGCCAGCACACACGGTGAGCCAGTCCCAGCCAGGAGGGGAGGGCGCGCGCTCCCGGCCACAGGGCTCAGTCTGTTTCCAGTTCACTCCTCTGCAGGACAGGGGAGAGGAAGAAAGAGCAGAGGAGGCAGGATGCCGCCAGGGCTTCCCGGGGCTCCCCCTCCGGCACGCAGCACCCATGCCCGTGGGGGCCCCCACCACACTGGCAGCCCCTGCTCAGGAAACCCAGGGGCTTGAAAGTGGGGGGAATCGGGCAGGCCGGGGTCCCCTCCCACACAGCGGGAGACAGAGAGGGGTGACACCTTCTCAAAAGCCAAACCCCAGGGTGCACAGGCTCAGCTGCAGCCCAACCCCGGGGCGAGGCTGTGGGAGGGGCTTCCGCCAGGCGGGGGACCGCCACCAGGCAGTGCGTTTTTATTCAGCCAAGCCACCACCACTTCACCCACGCGGTGCTTCTGTTCTGGGCAGCTTCTAAGACAAACAGCGGGCCGCCACAGGGCAGAGAGGCGCACGGACAGCACAAGATGCCCGGAACCAGACCCAGGGAGCGCTTTCCCACGGCAGTTACCTAAGCCGCATACACACGTGTACACACACACGCGCGTGCACACATGTACACACGTCGTTCCCTGATACTCGAAACCGCCTGCGAACGCGCCGTGCCCATCGTGGGACCCTTTAGGAAGGGAGCGGAGCCGTGGCCGTGTTCACCGCTGGCAGGTGGCCCCACTCGGCGGCCGCCCGGCGGGCAGGTCCAGGGGCAGCGCGGTGGAGACTCCTGGTCCTCAGGCCCCTGTGCATTCTCTACCTCCCCGCTGGGCCCCTGGGCAAGGCCGAGCCCCCCGGAGGGGAGAGGGTGGTGCCATTTTAAAGGGGCCACCGAGACGGCGATGGTGACTGCGGCGTGGAGCGCTGGAAACAGGCTTGCTGTGACCTTGAGCGATGAGTGTGCTGGAGTCTCCCAAGTTGTGCTTGCTTTGGTTTTAACCCCTCGGACGCCAGGTGGCTCCAGATCCTTCACAGCCCAGGCTGCAGCTGGCCAAGTTCCCACAGCACGACAGCAGGCTGGCAGACGGGCTCTACCTGAAAGCAAAGGACGCCCGGAGTCAGCGGCTCGGCCAGCGCGCAGCCCGCCCTGACCGCAGCAGCCTCCGGCGCTAGGTGGCGCTCTCCTCCCCATCCCTGCACGCAGCCCGGCCTCAGGACCTGGCGCATGCGCGTGGAAGGCGCCCCTCCCGCCCGGGAAACGCCTTCCCTTCCCTCAGCCCCTGCACAGACCACCGGCACACAGCACCTTGCTTTTTCCCCGAAAAGTATTTATTTGAAAGGCACAGTTAGAGCAGGAGAGGGAGAGAGACAATGAGGTCCTCCGTCCGCTGGCTCACTCCCCAGATGGCCGCAGTGGCCGGGGCTGGACCCGGTGGAAGCCAGGACCCAGGAGCTTCCTCCAGCTCTCCCCAGGACTTAAGTCATTTTCCACTGCTTTCCCAAGGGCCTTGGCAGGGAGCTGGGCCATACGTGGAGCAGCTGGGACTCGGAACAGCACTCAAATGTGATGCCAGCACTGCGGGCAGCAGCCTAACTCACTGCACCACACCACCAGCCCCACTCCTCACTCCTGCAGCGCCCCCCGGCCCCGCCCCATCCTGGTCCTTCTATGGCTGTCTATGCCAAGGGCGGTACACGGCAGAAGCCAACAGTACAACCTCTGTTGTGATGGAAAAGCAGCCAAGGGGGCGGCGCTATGGCGTAGCAGGTAAAGCCGCCACCTGCAGTGCCGGCCTCCCATATGGGTGCCAGTTTGAATCCCGGTTGCTCCACTTCCGATTCAGCTCTCTCCTATGGCCTGGGGAAGCAAAAGATGGCCCAAGTCCTTGAGCCCCTGCACCCACATGGGAGACCCAGAAGCAGCTCCTGGCTTTGGATCAACGCAGCTCCGGCCATTGGGACCAACTGGAGGTGAACCAGCGGATGGAAGACCTCTCTCTCTGTCTGTTTAACTCTTTCAAATAGGTA